TTTTTCAATTTATATTGCAATGAATAAGTCGAATGTAACTATATATTATTTTTATTACAGGTAGAGAATCGATTCCTTCAAGTTCTACTATCAGAAATACTCCAATAAGCGATAAAACAGTAGAACACGTTTGCAATGAAGGATCGGAGAATTCATAGTTGAATAATGATAGTGAGAGTAACGAAATGGGTTCAGATACTATTTCTGACAAGGAAAGTTATAGTTTAGGAAGTAAAAATGGTGAAGATCCACATTCTCGTGACGTGCATATTGGTCAAAATATAATGCCTCAAGACGAAAGTAATTCTTCAGACGAATATTCAGAAAATCTTGGCAGTGATTACGAATCTGAAACGGATCCCAGTGACGATGAAGATGAAGTTCGGCCAGAAAAAAATCAAGTACTTTTTGATCGCATAATGTTCGCGGAATCTCAATTGCAAGTTCGTGATGTTATAATAATGCTTACTGCATTAGCCGTAGACTTGAAGTTACCAGACCAAGGCAGAGTAAAGTTGGGACATTTTGTCAAAGTTCTTGCTGGTGACAGATTCAGTAATGTTAGCTTATCTAAACACATGATGGACCAATGTTTTCCACCTCCAAATGATCGCATGGCGCATCATTTCTACTGTACCAAATGTGATATTTTGATTCACAAGGTACAATCATCTAAAAAACCTAGGGTTCAACAAGTTACATGTGATAAATGTAAAGCTAAACAAAAAATTATTGCCACTTCTTCAAATTATTTTTTATCGCTCGAACAAAAATATCAGATATAACTATTATTATCGGATGAATTTTTTTTAAATGATATTTTAAACAACGTAAAGAATAGAGATACTTGCGTCGGAGATGATAATGCTGGTTCAATACATAAAAATTTGGTAGGTCAGTCTACGAATCCATCAGACATAATTCTTACGGTTAATGTAAACATATATGGAGCTCCACTTACAAAAAGTGGTAAAAGAGGATTCTGGACTGTGCAAGTATGGATAAACGATTTAAGTCCTAAATTTCGTTTCAAAAATTTGTTACTATGTGGGTTATTACTAACAGAAAAAGAGCAAAAAAGTAATTTATTAAACCTATTCCTTGCGGAAGTTTACGTCAATCAAATGAAACAGTTATACTCAGAAGATATTGAGTTAACGCATAATGGAATGGACTTAGTATTCAAATTTTGTAATCATAGTATTCCCGTTGACTCTGTCTGTCGACCTATAATACAGAATCGAGTTCAGTTCAATGGTTATTATGGTTGTAGCTGGTGTTACCAATTAGGACTGTACTTACCAAGTGTTCGTGGAATTAGGTATCCCGTTACCCAAGACGATATAGAGAGAACAAATGACAGTCATAAAAAAGATGTTGAAAAGTATATGTCTGAAGGAGTCATCTGTAATGGAGTTAGAGGACCATGCTCATTCTCTAATTTACCTTATGATACAGATTTGGTCTGGGCATTTGCATTTGAGTATTTGCATGGGCTTCTCAATGGACCAACTTTACAAATTTGGAATGAAGTGAAAAGTGGAAAATCCAAATATAAAATTAGCAAGGCACAGGTGAATTTTATTGAACAGCGTTTTTTGAACATAACTCCCACTCAAGAGATACATAGGCTTCCAAGAAGTGGTATTATTACAGGTACGGGTAAACCAAAAGCATCCGAATTGAAAACATGGCTATTATGCTACAGTTTATGCTGTTTTAAAGACACTTTAGACGATGAAGCTCTAAATCATTATGCTTTACTGGTGAAAAGTTCTTATACAGCACTGAAGCCTATGCAAACTGAAGTTGAGCTTGCACAATGTCAAATTGACTTTATAAAATGTGTAGTAGATTATCAGAAATATTATGGTGAAGAAAATGACATTTAACCTACATTCCTTAGAGCATATTGTTTCTTCTATTAGAAAAACTGTGGTCCACGCTCAGTTAGAGCTAAAGAGAGGGAGAGAGAGAGCACGCATCCTCAAGTTAGAACTATAGACAACATGCGCTCCTCCTCCTCCGCACGCTCAGGCCCTATACCAAATGTATGCGCGTGTAGCTAATATACACAATATGCATCCTCTAACATACATGTGGCATTGGCTCTAGTGGTAAAGCGCTAGCCTGCCAACTCAGAGGACTCCGGTTCGATTCTCCGGTCTGTCTCTTCATTTTTTTCAAAAATCATCGCTATTTTCTACTCGTTTCATTTTCAATGTGCAATTCAAATTCCTGTGCGTTAATTCGCACGGAACGGACTAGCCCGGATTTGGCCGACACACATGTCGAACGCCGCATGTAAAAAAAAAGGAGAGTTGTAATAAAATATAAATAACTATTTGAAAGGATGTGTTTCTTTGTACAACCTGTCTCTCTCGTAATTAGGTAAACCGCGATTATTGACACTACCGGACGACATAACCCCTCGTTGATTTTCCGCGACGAAGCGAATACGCCTTCCGAGTCCCTCCCCTTAAAATAATTTATGACGCAATGTTGTTCGGGCTTATTTTCCACGTGGAATTCAAAATTACTAACGTACGTGTTACAAGCGAATAGTTTGATCACCACGAAGAAAGTGAATAAATTTGTTCTCTGAAATACACTGCCGTCCATATTTATTTGCCCACCCAGAGAAAAAATTACATAAAATTAAAAGTTTTGTTACTAAGGAAGTATTCATTCTATAAAAGTCTCCGGGAGCTCATTTTGAAGGTTCTGGCGAAAACTTTGAGGTACGTTTACTTTCGAATCGATTAATAATTTTTTTCCATGATTTATCAATACATAAAAGTAAGTAAAAAATCAAAATATTTTGCCCACTTTTAAATCCGAACATTTTTATGGGAAAAATTTCCACGATAAATCTAAAAGGAGGCGATAACTCTAAAAGAAGGAAAACTTGTTTAAAGAGCTTTTGAATGCAAGGTAACACGATATTTTTTCATGATTAGCTTAAAAGTTATAGATGTTTGAAAGGAAAAAAAAAAACAGTTTTGTTCAAGAATTATTATTTTGATATCATCTCCTCCTATGAGAAAATTTTACTTGGAAAAGATGTCTAGTTTTTAGCGTAGAATGAACCTACATTTTCTCAGATTTATTTCGGAAAATTTTTTTTCCTACATTTTGGAGTCGATTATTGTACGACTTTGTGGTATTCCATGATAGAAAAAATCGTTATTTTTATTTTCTACGGGTTTTCCTATCTCTGAAGTTGAAACCGATCTAGAAATTTTCAGAAATACAGCATAAAGACTATCACAAAAGGTTTTTATTATCTCTAAATCACAAAGTATAAGTAATATAAAGTCACATCAATGAATGAACAACGTTGAATTCTTTCGGAATCATCAAAATAAGATAGACTCTAAGAATTAGTCACTTCACTTCAAGCGTAATTTAGTTTTATTTATAAACATACGATGACACCGTGATACTCTAGGTAAACTCACTTAATAAAGTGCCAGTTCATTCATACATTCTTTTTAGTTGCCAGCAAGGAAAAAACTGCGAATTTAGCAATAGAGAGCCGTAGTGAGATTGTGGCTCTTTAAAAAATTGTTAAGAGTAATAGAGATATAGCTAAAACGCTCAAAACATCATGGCGTACTGTTGATTATAACGTAAAAAGTTTTTAAAATTTGGCACAGTGACTACAATAAAAAATGCAGGTAAGCTGAGGAAAACGACAAAGAAACAAGATGATAATATAAAAACACTTTAAATCATTGATCTCTAACTTTATTGATACATAAATAAACCAGCGGGTCAGGGCTTTGACAGTCCATTACTTGTCGCCCTTGACCTAAATTAATGAACCGGTGCTCGAACAATAGAATCACAAGGTGGTCGGTGGATGGACGCCTTGTTACCTACAATAATATCTATTTTAATCTAGCGCGATCGTGAGTCTGCCATAAAGAAATAGAGAAAAAAGTCGCAAGAAAGAGAATGTTCCACCTCACCTTCATTACTACTCTGGCTGGTGACAGGTGACGACAGGCGGAGTTACTTGCAGCAGATCTTGTGGCTTTTTTTGCGATGCTGCTGGAGGCAGGTATTTGGCAAGGTAATGACCGCACAATAAGATGAATTTTTGCCTGGCTGTTTTCTTCTCGTCTTCTTTACGTATATGTCTAGCGTGTCACTCACAAAGTAGACATATCGTCGAATTAATCCGGAAGGAGACTCTTTGCTAGTAGACGGAGAGTACCTTGGTAGCTGTTTTGTATCAGTTCACCGGATCGTACTCTTCTACATTCCTACATAATCAACCATTTTATTAGGCTGCAAGTAAAATACCTTATCTAAGCCGTGCATTGCGAACCAAAATTGCGCTGTCAAAACCTGCACTATGCTATCTCTCTCTCTCTCTCTCCTGCTCTCTTTCTCTCCCTCTCTCTCTCCCTCTCTCTCTCTCTCTCTCTCTTTTGCTCTCTTTCTTTCTCTCTCTCACTCTGTCTCTCTTTCTTTTCTCCTTGACTGCCTGATATTTTCAAGCCTACTCGGTCACTTACCAGCAATCATCGATAGCTGAACTAAAGAGATCAAAAGTTAGACGCATTCTTAAAATGTATCCAATGCTGATCACGATGTCTTGCCAAGAGCAAAAGAGAGAGGAAGAGAAGCACACGAAAGACAGGCTTATTGCTCAGTCCCGTCACAGATATAAGACATTAAAATTTTCCTTTTTTGTGGGTTAAAGGACTGACCGGTACTGTATATTCGTCAGCATAAGCAGATGTAAGAAATCTACAAATTTTATATATGTAACGACTCACTGTGGTATTCAGAAAAATCACATAAAAAATAAGCAATAATATTTTATTTTAAACGTAGTTTTTTGTTCAAGGAAATAAAATGAATAAGCATTGAAATCATATCTCATAAGTAATATTGATTAGATATTGATATGTATGATCGCATGATAATCTATTATATACAAATTACTGTAAATACATGAATCTAACTATCTTTTTATTATGTTACAGCTTTAGATGTTATATTATATGGAGCTAACTTCGCAGGAATGAAATTAGCTGGGATGATCTTGATTGCTACAGGATTCTTTCTTGTTATGTTTCCAAATAATTGGCCTGATTACTTTACTCGACTTCTAAGGTGAGATATATCGTATATTCAAATTATTACTATGAATAATTTGAAACGAATTTAATTAAAAATAAAAAAAAGCTTCTATATTTTTCGAAATTTTATGTTAAATTTTGTTCTAAATAACTATATCGAGTCGATTTTCCTCTAAATATCTAGAATATTATTAAATTTGATGTAGTGTATTTAGATTTGAGCTGCTTATAATTTGAACAAAATTAATAAGAAAATCTGTTTAAAGTTATTATTACATTTAATATTGCAAATAGTTCGTCTTCCATGTCTCCGAATTTCAATTTACATAGGCCAAAAAATTCAAAATCCAGAAATGAGACCTTACGTCTCCGAAGAATTTTTATGCGCTGAAATTGAATCTGTGCTCAGATTTTTCCCTGTACATCAAGTTTCCAAGATATTCTAATCTAAAAATAGAAAAAATTTGTGATATTAATATCATCTGTTATTTATTATTTTGTTCGTACTCTCGTGGTCTGTTGCGTTAATAAGTGAGAATTCGTTTTAATTTTGAAAATATATATGAATATTGAGTTTGAAGTAAAATTATAAATCAAATACACTGCCCGTCAATCACTTTTGCCATGCTTACCTCAAAATTAGGCAAACTTGAAAGTTTTGTATCTCGGTCGGAAATCATCGTATCACAAAAAACAGCAAAGCATTTTAAAGGTAATTGCAAAAGATTCTATTTAGGATGTGCAGAGACTTGAAAATGAAAATATGTGTTTTTTACAGTAAAAAAACTGATTAAAAAAATTTCAATTTTTTTTACCTCGACTTAAATCAATGCCAATTTAGAACCAGGCGGTGGAGGGCAAATTGACCTGAGAGTTTCGGAGGGTAATGTCTTTCCCTTTAAAATGAGCTCCCGCGGGGTTCTATCCGATGTGTTTTAACCGAGTTACGGCGTTTTTTGTAAAAAGCAACCTTTTTTTCCAATCCTCAATTACTTCGACTTGCGTACGTTATGTCTAGGGGCGTAGTAAATCACAAAAATTAAAAGACATTTTAAAACTATGCGTAAAAAAAAAGTTAAATTCCTTTATTTTTTTAATGCGCTAAAACACCGAAAAAAAAATTTTTCTCTATTTCTTTATTTTAACTTTATTTTCGTATTCTTGGACACAAAATGAAACTTTTTTCTCTTTGGCATTTTTTTCCAAAACGTACGCAAGTCGAAGTAATTGAGGATTGGAAAAAAAGGTTGCTTTTTACAAAAAACGCCGTAACTCGGTTAAAAAACATCGGATAGAACCCCGCGGGAGCTCATGTTAAAGGGAAAGACATTATCCTCCGAACCTCTCAGGTCGATTTGCCCTCCACCGCCTGGTTCTAAATTGGCATTGATTTAAGTCGAGGTTAAAAAAATTGAAATTTTTTTAATCAGTTTTGTTACTGTAAAAAACACATATTTTCATTTTCAAGTCTCCGCACATCCTTAATGGAAGCTTTTGCAATTACCTTTAAAATGCCCTACGGTTTTTTGTGATACGATGATTTCCGACCGAGATACAAAACTTTCAAGTTTGCCTAATTTTGAGGTAAGCATGGCAAAAGTGATTGACGGGCAGTGTATCTATAATTGTTTGAATTGGGTTTAAGGAAAGATAGACTTTACTCTAGGTTCTCATAGCGCGAAGTGTTCTATGAGTCGAGCGTAAATCACAATAGGAAAGGAAAGAATTGCTTAGTTAATCACTTGAGAGAAATAACTTAGCTGTAAGCCAAGTTTATTCAATCTCAAGCGTTCACTTTGCAAGGCTAGGAGAGAATGCTAGCCTGTGCAAAAATCAACGTATTTATACATAGATTTTCCTGCCTATTTTCGCAGGACAGCCCTCTTGAAGCTGTTTATACAAGCGTGCAAAATCATTTTCTTTTGTTTACAATAAAATAGACAGCGCTAACGAAATTCTAAAGCACGTAAAATTTACAGAAGTAGATATGAATTATTTAAGTATAAATTACACTTATCGCAAAAAGTATAGTCAAAAGTTATTAACTAATGAACTTAGTTAATATAATAGTGCAATATTTACAATAAAATAATGATAAAATTTTACATATAGCAATAGTTTATCGCTTGTAGATGTAATTCCAAAAATGAACTACTTAAATTAATTAATAACATTTGAATTATAATCAATTTTCATATTTTTGCAAAATCCTATAATGCAAAACTTAAATCGGTTAATTAAGATTAATAAATTATAACAATATTGTTACTATGTACAAAATTAACACTTTTAATTCATATACAATAATTTTTTTAAATAAATTATTAATTGTTTATTTATTGACAACAGTAATAACTAAGCTGGTATCAATGAAACGAATTCTTACTCATGTTTCTTAGATAGTTATCTTGAGTTCCAATTATCCGCTTTATTATAATAATTAACATTTATAACATAATAAACAAATTAAATTTGCACATTAAAATTTAATATGATTTAGTAGTTAGAAGTAATTAAAAATATTATAATCTTAATCTGTGCCCTTAAATCTATTTAAAAAATATTTTGTTACATTCAAATTACTCTTAGTAAACGCATTTGAATTGTACAATAAAAACTATTATATCTATATCTATAAGTAGAGTGACGTCACGCTTCTTATATGGTCATGAAATTTGACTGTAGCACAAATACAATTATATAATATATGAGGTGGCGTAGGTTAATATACTAATGGATGTAAGTAGATTCATGAGTTTAGCGGGTTGCAGTAATTTAGTGAAAATAATAGAAGAGCTCATAGATAGGACCGTTACAAATTCTGTTTTTAGCTATATTCGAGATTAAATTAAATCGTGATTAAATTTTTTTCTTCAAAACCGATAATGCCACCTAGAAAAAGAACACTCTTACCTGTCAAAACGATCTTTTCAAATTGGAAAAATATTTTTTCTTCTTTGAGCTGTAAATATTTTATGTTCAGCATTTTAGCTTTCCCTCTATATACTCAAAATATGTAGCATCGAATTTTTTTCGAAAGCAACCATACAATACAGCTTCAATGAAGATTTTTCATACTAGGACATCATTGAACATATAAATATACAGGGTGTCCCATTTCAACTTTCACAACTGAATATCTCGGAAACAAGCCCGAAAAGCTAAAAAATGATTCATATGAAAGTTGGAGGTTAGATTTCACTCGAGGGGAGTGTGGACGTGTATTGGATGTGAGCGCGAGTTTTGGTGATAGGGAGGCCAAGCGAAGCGAGATGGATGGGGAGGGGGGAGAAGGATTGGACAACACGTTAAGAGAAGTGGGAAAAAGTAGTGGTGCAGAAGAAATAATGGAAAAGATACGGACAGACATAAGGGAATTAAGAGAGGTATGGGAGGAGGAAAGGAAAGAATGGACAGAAATGATTAAAGAAATAATGGGAAAAATGGAAAGAATGGTGGCAGAGGGGAAAAGAAGAGAAGAAAGGTGGGAAAAGGAAATAGGAAAAGTTAGGAAAGATCAAGAGAGAGAGAGAGAAGAAAGAAAGAAAGAGACGAAAGAAGAAAGGGAAAAAGCAGAATGTAGAGAAAAGAAACTGCAGGAAAAATGGGGAGAGAGGATGGATCAGTTGGAAGAGGAGTGCGTGAAACTAAAAGAAAGCATAGAAGGAGGAAACAAGAAGCAAAGAGGAACAGAAGTAGGCAATAAGGAAGAATTAGAGCATATGAGAGAAAAAATGGATAGAGAAAGTAGGATAAACAATATAATAGTAACAGACTTAGAGGGTGAGTTAAGATGGGAAAAGAAGGGAGAGGCAGAGGTCTAGTTAAGGGAGGTACTAGAAATGAAAGGAGAGATAGTGAATCTGAGAAGAATAGGAGGAACAGCGGAGAGAGATGATCGGAGAGAAAGAAGAAAAAACATGTGGCAAATTAGATGCGCGTCATGGGAACAAAAAGAAGGAATTATGAAGAAGAAAAAGAATCTGGCACAGAAAAAGATATACATAGATCAGGACTGGACGTGGAAGCAGAGAAAGATAAGAGAGGAAGTAAGAAGGAAAGCGAAAGAAATAAGAAGTAAAGGTAAAGAGGTAAAGATGTGGCATAACGGGGTGAAATCAGAGGAAGAAGAATAGTGGTGGAGCGAGAGAGAGGGAAAAATGATAGGAAAGAGGGTGGAAGGGTTTCGAAAACAATAGGGATAAAAGAGAGAGAGAGAAGAGAAGGGAGAGAGGGGAGAAAGGCAGTAAAAATACTATTCTGGAACGTGGCAGGGGTGAGGAGCATGGAGGAAGACGACTGGGAATATGTTAGGGAATTCGACATAATAGGGCTAACGGAAACCTGGGTGAAGAGGCAAGGGGCAAGAACTGGTGTGGAGAAACAACTGAAAGGGTACAGCATAGAGTGGAGGGACTCAAGAAGAGAAGAAAGAAGGGGGAGAGAAATAGGGGGAGGAATAATGGCGGTAAGAGAGAGGAAAGGGATGAATAAGGTAGAATGGAAGAAAGAAAGGACAAGTGAGGTAATAGTAGGAGAAATAAAGATCGGAGGGAGGGAATACATGATAGCATCGATATATATGCAACATGAGAAGAAGGAAAACTATGAATACCTAAGTGAAGAGATAGAGGATAATAGAGGAAAAACAATAATTATAGGAGGAGACTTCAACGCAAGAACAGGAAACGAAGGAAGGGAATGAGAGACAGAAGAAAACCTAGAAGAAATTAAGGCCAAGGATAAAGTGTTAAACGCAGAGGGAGAAGAAATGATAAAATGGCTAGGAGAAATGGGCTTAGTGATAACGAATGGGAGAAAAGAAGGAGATGAAGAGGGAGAAATAACATATATAGGAGCGAGAGGAATGTCAACGATAGACTATGTAGTAGGTAACGAGAAAGGTGATGAGGCAATAAAAAAGGTTCAAATAAAGGAGAGGGTAAAGTCGGACCACTTACCAATAGAGGTGGAACTGGGAGAAGAAAACTGGAGTGAAGAAGGTATAAGGGAGTATCAGAGATAGATAGACGC